TTAACGGCCTTGTCGGCCACCGTATCCATCGTATCATCAATCGAAAAAAAAAAATAAGATGAGGAAAAAGAAAAAGCGGCCGTGATGAGAGGAGGGAGGACGAAGATGCTGAATGATTTAGTAGTTAATTAGGATTTTAGTTTTTCTTTTGTTTAATCATTAATGTAAAAAAACTTTAAAATTACAAAGGGTAAAATTGGTATTGTATGTGGACTAATACTAGATATTGTATTTTGTTTTACACAATGTTAGATAATAAATTATATATAGAAAACTTAATATACAAGCTAATTTGAAACTTTCATGTCAATTAAAAAGATAATTACATCAAAAGAACGACCAAACAATATCTGACATCCATTAGCAACAACAAGAAAAACATCCAGTTTAAATTCTCGAACTAATATTATTTATATAATTAAAAATGAAAATTATTAAAAACTATACATACATTACACAAATATAAAAGACACTAATACCAAAGTTCTTATTTAAATAATACTTTATAATTATATATGAGAGCATGATACGTAACCAAAATTCTAATTCACCAAACCGTGATATGGGGCTAATACTAAACAGATGATGACATGTGTTAACAACTAAAATTTATTAAAAAAATATAGAGAGTATAAACCATAAAAAAACAAAAGTGACGAGGAAATAAAAATTTTATTGAAAAAAGTTAAAAATTTTAATTTTAAAAAAATGCGAATGATAAAACAAAAGATATTATATATATTAAAAAAATAAAATTAGATAGGATATAAAAATCTGAATTTAAAAGTTTAAAATATTTACAACCATACAAAAAATCAATATCTATAAACATAATTATTTTGTTAACATTGTTATTGAATATCAAGAGTGATCGTGGAGAAGGGAACTTGTTGTACTGAAAAAGCTATTGCTAGTGCTAGTGCTCACTTACTCTATATCGCGGTCTTATTGGACTGACAGAGTAAGCTAGAAAGGTTCCGTCTTTCCGAGAAAATCTAATAAAGAGAGCTAGCTTCGATCTCACGTAGCTCACCTAAGAAAGGATGGAAGTGTCGAGTGAGGATTGGCCGAGGGCAGTTCGAGATGTTTTTGGGTACAAAATCAGTCAATAAAAAAGAGACAAGTAGAAGCGAGTCCAATTATCCCATATCCCCTTTTTGCAAAAACGGTACTAATACCTCTCGATATTAAAAAAAAAAGTTGTATAAAAAGGAAAAAAAAATGTTTGT